CCCGTGCTGATCTGCTCCTGCAGCTCGCCGATGACATCTCGTCAGCCCTTGCGCTGCGCGCTGAGAGACTCGAGGTGTTCCCTGAGCGCGATCATCTCGTTGTACTCCTCCTTCCGCTTGCCGTCCAGCTCGATAAGCTGGACCTCGTAATCCTGCATCTTCTCGGCGTACTTGTCGTTTGTCAGCTCGAGGGCGCGGTTCCTCTTCAGGACCTTTTCGTACTCGAGCAGGTCGCGCTGCATCTCCTCCTTTTCGTAGCGCAAGTTGTCGAGCTCGCTCTGCATCTTGCTGCTCGCCTCGAGCTTCTGCTTGTACCGCTCGACCATGTTGGCCTTGCGGCCGAGCTCCTCGGCGCGGTAGCGCAGCTCGTTGACCTCGTCCTCGAGGACGTCGGCGCGGGCGGCCCTCGTCTTGAGGGCGGCCATCTCGGTCTGCAGGCGCTCCTTGGCGACGCGCACGTCCTCGAGCTGGCCCTCCTGCGTGGCGATGAGCTCGTCCTGCTCGCGAATCTTCATCTCGAGGTTCCGGATGACCTGGTCGCCGGCGCCGCTGTGCATGCTGCGCACGTCCTCGAGCTCGCTCGTGACACGGGCGGCCTCGTCCTTGAGGTCGTCGTAGCTCTCCTGCAGGTGGGCGAGGCGCGTCTCCATGTCGGCAAGGTTCTTCTGCTTCTTGTCGAGCTGGGCCATGAGGCCGGCGTTCTCCTCCTCGAGGAGCGAGGGTCCGGGTCCCGCGCCTCCGACGGCCACGTCGTGGGCGTCGTCGGTGCCGGCGGCGGCGAGCGCCTCCTCCATGTCCGTCTTCATCTCGACCGTGATGCGCTGCAGCTGCGACAGGGCGGCGCCGTCGGTGATGTCGCGCGTGATGCGGGTCACGTAGCGCTCGTTGTTGCTGCCGAGCATGGCGACGGCGAACAGGAGCGCCAGGAGCTGCAGGGACACTGTGGTTAGCACGCGCTGGGTGGGTTTCGTCGAGCACACGGGGTGGTCGTGGCCTACCTTGCAGATGCCCTGGGCATCGGGGCTCGAGGCGATGGCGCGAAAGTCGGCGATCCTGGCCTGGCGGCCGAGGCCGGGACACTCGCGGTGGATCAGGCGGGCAAGGCCTTTGTAGACGCTCTGGAGGTTCTTCTTGTTGGCGAGCCACCGCTTGTCTTCGGTCTGGATTTCGGAGGGGTCATAGCTGGTGTCGAGGTCGGCAAGGATCTGGGAGAGGAGGATGCCATCATGGAAGTCGTCCATTGTCCTGGCCTTCTTGTCGAGGGCAAAGGTGTTGGCCCATTGCAGGAGCGCGTCCTGCGCGCCCTTTGTGAACGTCATGCTTGTGTGCGTGATGTATGTGCTGGGTCGTTTGGTGGGTGGACCGAGGGAAAAGACAGGAGGTCGTGTCCCTTGTCGTCAAGACTCGTCGTTGTCGAAGAGCCAATGTCTGGGATGTCTTCAGCGAAGGCCTGATTCCATGTATGCAACGAATGTTGACGGCGGTGGCATGCTCGGCACGAAGGAGACTGCTGCTGTTGGCGGTTGTTATCTAGTAAAAGGCCATCCGTGGGGAAGGGAGGGAGGTCCGCAGAGCAGACGTCAGAGATGGTGTCCAGCGTCAGTAGGTGAACAATGGGATTGAAGAGGGTCGTCGTGCTGGGATCACAAATGTTGTTCGAGGGGACCGAGACGAGGGCCAGGGACGATACGGAGGGTTAACGAGCAAGTCCGGGTCCAAGCTCTTTCTTCTTATCGATTACGATGTTCTGTAAAGCCACAGGTTGGGTTGTGTCGCGGTGCCAAAGGTGTCTCGGTGCCAGAGGTGCTCCCTACGATCCAATTATCCAAAGTGTCCGAAACAACGGGTGACACTCTGCACAAGGTTGAGGCGAGGCGACACGAGAGGCCAGGGATCCCATGCCATGACTCGACTAGGGGGGCCAAGGCCAATAACGGCGTCGCATCAAAGGGGGGGGGACCTGCATGACATGTCGTGGGCTTGCTGCTCAGTGCCGGGGACCCTTCTCTGTCCTCTGCTGTCTTTGTCGTGAGGTACCCTCGCCTGAAGGTGTCTACTGCTGTTCGTCAGTCCCCCACGCATCTCACATCGCACTGAGCTGAGCAGGACGCCGAGCTGAGTTGAGACTTCAGTATCTCGAGTGACGGCACATCACAGACGCCTTGTTCATTCTTTTCCCTTTCCCAGCTGAAGAACAAGCAACACACACACACACACACACCAGAGGCTTCTTCAGCTCCCATCCCCAGCCTTCCGAACAAAGGCAGAGTTTCCCGCCGGCCCTCCCCTCAACAGCACCATCGCCCCCCTCCCCCCCCCCCCCCGTCGGTTGGTCTCCCCAAGCTTTCTTGTCCAATGTAAGGTCTGGCCCCTCCACGGCCCCTAGCCACTTTGTGTAGATGAGGCAAATGTCAGGAGAACACCCCATGGTCTTGCAGAAATCACATCTGTGTCAAACAAAGCCTAAAGAAGAGAAGAGGCATGCCTATTTCCGGTGGGTGTCACGCTGTGCCGAACGTGACAACCATCCGAGCTCTCCGTCCCTCTCCCCACTGTCCCTGGGCAGACGGATGGCGGAGCTCTCGGCCGCTGAGTATCCCAGGTCCCAGGTTGAGTCGAGCCGTGTACTGCATGTCATCATCGTGGGGTGGTGCTGGGAGAGAGGGACACGGGAGGGGGGGGGGGTTATGTTAGCGGCCGATCCCGCCTTTTTCTCCTCCACAAGCACGCTCATCATCAACGCCCAGCCGTCATGCTTACGGTTTGGTCGGTTTCTTTCAGGCGTCGGTCCCTCTCACAGGTGAACACCATCAGCCTTCAGATGGCCGGTGATCGCTTGAGCGGCAGACGAGCTGTTCCGATTCAATCACGGGCATGGTCCCTTGGTTTCGTAGCGGCGCATCGACAGGCCCTTACGAACCATGCCACCGCCCCCTCAAACGATAGGAGCGAACCTTCTTTGGTGCCATGCAGTCTGAGAGTGTAACACTGCATGAACACGGGGACGATGCTCAGGACAAAAATACAAACAAAAATCAAGTGTCCGTCTATTCGTCGAGCCACCAAGGGTTCGATTCGGTTCAGTTCGATCAGGTATCTGCTAAAAAAAAAACGCCCAACACCAAATACTTCCCATGCTAAGCGAATGAATGTGGTTGTACTCCCCGGGCCGTCGATGGCATTGCACGCGTGTCATCGTTGCGTCGAGGCCCGTCCCCAATGATTTCGACATCCTTTTGTGTCCATGCTCCAGAGCACGCCGTCGTATGCCTCGTCGCTTCGCCCCTTCTAGTTGTCCTTGTTCTGGTATGTCGTCACAATCTGGTCCTCCTCAACCTTGAGGCCGGCGTCAAAGGCGGAGATGGCCTCGACGACCTTGGCAGGCGCGATGGCGTCAAAACCACTGTCTTCTGTTAGCATTCAACTCTCACAAATCGTTTCTTGTAGCCTGTGGGGGTTGACAAGGTAACGGTGTCGATCGCTCTCGTCGGGCGTAGGCGACGTACCGGATGAGAGTGCTGTAGATGTGCGTGACCTTGCCACCGGCATCAATGATGGCCGACTTGGCCTTCTCGATCATGGCGTCGGTAGTGGTGTCGTCCTGCGCCCAGACGATGATGTTCTTCATCTGGTCGACGGCCATGGCGCCGGGGACGATGGCGAGGGCGGCAACGAGGAACGAAGAGGGCTTCATGTTGATGGTGGGTGTCTTTGGTGTGTTGGGTAGGTAAGGTAGTCGTCGGGCTCTTCTACGTTTGTCTTGGGCTTCGCGATCTAAAGGTTTCTCGTGATGTTTGAGTTTTTACCGTGATAGGCCGGTTCGAGGGGCGGTTGGGGTGGTTTTATTGTTGGTATGGTAGGTGAGGTGATTCAGGTGCAATGTCTGACGGCGAGGAAAGGGTCAGGGTCAGGTGTCACAGCAATCATGAATTGGGGGGCG